GTTTGTTGCTTTTCAAGTGAGCTGTCACATTTTCTAATTATAAAACATTCTGCACTTGCAGCAAAGATTGGGTTATGCAATTTTCTTAATTCAATAGATCGCTTGTCACTGCTGAGCAGAAAACCTTTTGTTATCTTTGAGTCTTTTTCACATCTATTTTTCCTAGGTCTTTGACATACTTAGGGGGGTGAATAGGGGAAAAGAATCATGAAATAGTTTGGGTTGGAAGGGACCTTCAAAGGTCATCTAATCCCACACCCCACGATGAGTGGAACATCTTGAACTAGATCAGGTAGCCCGATACCATGTCCAGCCTGGATGTCTCCAGCGATGGCGCATTCACCACCTCTCTGGGCAACCTGTGCCAGTGTTTTATCTCCCTCATTATAAAAATCTTCTCTTCCACATCCAGCCTGAATCTCCCCTCTTTTAGTTTGAAACCATTACCAGCAATCTCTCTTTTGCATACACCATTGCATTTACTCAGTGCAGTCTTGACACTGGAAGGACCTGGAAATGCCTCGGTTATGACCTGGTAACTTACTCTGAGGCCCAAAAATGTGTTTCAGTGTTTTGTAGATGTGAAATATTCCCCTTTTCCCCAATATTAAAAGAGGCTAAATATATTTCTAAGGTTTTTACTTGAAGTATACCTGATTTTCATGTTTTCCAAATTTTAAATTACTGATTCTAAAAGCACTTGTTTAGGAGTGGATTCACTCCACAATCATCCTCAAATTGGTCTAAGTATTCCTCAGATTAGTTAAGGTTGTCTTGAAAACCTTGTATTCACAAGAAAATAACTGGATGCTCTTTTTTTTCTGGAACTCTGATAGGATTTACTGATGCCAATTTTTCACTACTCCTTGAATGCACTTTGGCCTGAATGCACTTGAAATAAGCCAAATGGTGTGCTTCTAATTAAAAATCCAAGTGTTAAAGATAAAGCTTGTCTGATCTCTGGAAACAAGTGGCGTTATATTCCCAGCCGCTCTGGCAAAGTTAGGAAATTGAATAGCAGGTATAAATGAACCAAGTGACCAGTGTATCACACTTGAGAGCATTCCAGCAGCAAAAGAATCCTTATTAAACCAGATACTAGTCACAACAGTGAGTTCTGCAAATTGAGAATATTCTATAAAGCTCCTTAGAAGACATGCTATTGCACCCAAAAATAAGTGGCCTAAAATATATTCCTGATACCTTAATATGGGTGAAAATATCTGAACATAGTTTTTATGTTTTTCAATCAAATTGTGAATATAGTAATCATTACCGCAGAAGAAGCTATATGGATTGCTACCATGTGAAACTGTCTAGTTCTTCCACAAGGCCCACTGAAAGAGTATGTCTGCTTTTATTTTTATTTTTTGGCTGAGTATCTTTTGGGCAGTCATTCTAAAAACCTAGATTATTCCTTCTGTAATATAGGATCTCATAGCTACAGACCTGAGAGAACCGAAAATAGTTACTAGTGATTTGGAGAAATAAATAGTTTTTCTTCAAAAAAGAAAAAAAGTCGGTATTTCCCACCTGCCTTCCAGTGCTGTAGGGACTTAGTGATTGCAAGTGTTCTAGTCCTACAAACATCCATGCACAGCCAGTAGGAAACAATCAGCTTGCTTTTAATTTAGTTATATTAATTTAATTGCATGTTCATTTATAAAATGTACAATACAAAGCTCAAGCTTTTTCTGAGTTGTTTTTAATTCAATTTCCTATACCTTGTCCTCCAGAAAAGCCAGATCTTAGTCTGCATTAGTGTTGCTTTGCACTGGTTCAGCAACAGGTACCAAGTGTTTCTTGAAGTACTTTGCTGTATTTTAGAGCACTCCTAGACGCTGATAACTTCATTGGTAGTTGGAACCACACCAGTTGTTTTCCTTGCTCTTGCCTGCCATAAGAGAGGTTACTCTGGAAAAAGTAGCATTCATCTAAAGAACTCAGATACACCTTTGCTAGCTTAGGCTACACTGGAGATTTTCCTGGCTCATTCCTACAATGAGAAAACACAAAGGTATCTGTGTATGTCCATTTCAGCTGTGCCAAGTGATACTCATGTCCAGCTGTGGCTTTGTCTTTAGTACATATTGTGTACTGCTCTAACCACCAAATCCTCTTGTTCAGTGACTACCAATATGTTCTGCTAAAATTCAACCATTTTTAGCAGCTCAGCTGTGTAAGGTTGCTTAGAAACCAGCCTTCTTATCCCCCACATTCTCATGACAGATTTCCTATGCAATAACATCACTGCATGACACATTTGTATCCTCATATGTGTTCCTTTTCCACTTGAGATTCTCTGAGTAAAGGTTGCTGGTGCTTCACCCGATTCATTAACAGCATGTGGTAAATCACCAGAGTATTAAGCCACCGCAACAATAAAAATGAGCTCAAATTTTGAATGTGAGCAATTCCTCACTCCTGAATGTAGTTATTGATTTTTTTGTACAGATAGTAATTTCTAATTTTGTTTTTCAGACTGGGTAGCTGGATGTTATTATGACTTTATGACAATCTCCACTCCCTTCTTTGCTTCTGCATAGAATAGTTACTTGCACCATTTCAAAATTGAAATGGTAAGGGCTTTTGTTTGCAATTGCTTTCTCCTTTATATTTTCTTTCTGTTTGTTCAAGGCATCTCAGATGAACTGGGCATAAAGATTTTTATTACTGATAGAAATCTTTTTTAAAATGTCACTAATAAATATCAAAGATACCAACTTGCAGATTAACAGAATCATTGTCAGATACTTCATATTTAATGTATCTCTCTGACTGATGGGTTTTTAGCACTGTTTTCACTTTGTCCTTTTCTGTTTGCTAACAGTATTTCAATTTTGCCAGAATGGCAATGTGTTGGTCTGGCAAAATAATGAGAAAAGCTGACTGACACATCTGGTGGAAAGAGTATCTGCTATTGACCAAGACAATAAGGTCCCATTGTAGTTGTCTTCAGTCTCGTGCAAGAACCACATGCAAATTGATGCAAATTAGTGTTTTTATGAATATATCATCAGTGAACCATATGGTTTGAATTATAAATCAATGTAATTTTCATATATTTTTTCTGTTAATTTTATTTTGTTACTATAAAACTTATGCTTATTATATTTTAACAGCATTTCAAACATTATGTACCGAGAGTATAATTTTGTTACTGTTCATACTCTGCCAAAAGAATGTTATTTAAAATGTTAGTAAAATGCTAAATTTATATAATCCAAACATGATTTCAATATATATTCTGCTTTATAGGGCATAAAGGCCTAAATCCTGCAGTAAATAAGTAGTACGAGACAAAGATAAATTTAAGGGAGTTTCCTGGGGTAAAGAATGTTTTAAGAAGAATTTATGAAAGAATGAGATTTAAATTGGGATTTGGAGATGGAGGTAAGGTGTCTGAAAAAAGCCAAACTGAAATAACTGAGCCGAAAAGAACAGTGAAAGGATTGTAAACCAACAGAAATTAATAGGGCTAGAACATGTCACATGATGCAGGCATGGATAAATTGTTGCACAGAATACTGTAAAAGAAAACCAATGAATGAACAGATGATACTGAATGAAATTCAGTTTTGTTGATCCTGTTTTTACCACTAGCTTTAAAGTTCCACAAGATATCTTTTGCGAATAATGAGGCAAGAGGTGAGAAAATTCACAACTGCATTTAGTTCTGATAACAGAAACACAAAATAACATTCTTTGCCAATCCTCTCCAAATCTAGAGAAGTGTTTGTGGTATTTGTGAAGAAAATGGAAGCAGAGTTGTGTAAAAGTGAAAGGCAGAAAGCAAAACATACAAAAACACCACCCTTAAGTACGGTGGTGTGATAAGCAGTTGGCTTTAAAAATATTTTAATTATAAGTCATTCTTTTAATGCTTATCCACAGCACAGCAACAAGAATAGTAACACTCATCCTTAGCACAGTATCCAAGCCACAGGAACCTCATGTGTTTCGGTCTGTACTCATTACCCCTTGTTCTGTCTCAGGGCACCACTAAATAAAACCTGATTCCGTCTTCTCTTCACCCTCCTGTCAGATTTCTGTACACATTGATGAGATCCCCTCTGAGCATTCTCTTTTCCAGGCTGAACACTCCAAGCTCTCTCAGCCTTTCCTGATAGGAAAGATGGACAAGTTCCTTAATCATCTTAGTGACCCTTCACTGGCCTCTCTGAAGCAGCTCTATATGTTGTACTGGTGAGCCCAGAACTGGACACAGTAGTCCAGATATGACCTTACCAGTTTTGAGGTGGAAATGAGAGGGGAAAGATGGATACAACATCTTTCCATCTCAGCCTTCTTTCTTCCTACATATAGGGAAAACACTATCAAAATTCAGTTTGTGGATGTGGATGTGGGATCAGTAGAAAGGTTGGTTTCAAAACACTGTCAGCATCTGTTGTAATTTCATCCTTAAAAACACTTTTTCAAGGGGAGAATATTTGATTTAGTTTTAGTTATGTTTCACATTTTGTATTTTCATGCCTCTTTTTTGAAAATATTTTTTTACTCTCCCTTCTTAAATATACAATAGGCAAATTGTACAGTCCATTCCAATGATTCTATTTACCATGTTTTCCAACATTTTAAACTCTGTGGTGGAAACTCAACAATCACAGAATCATGGAATGGTTAGAAGGGTCCTTAATGCTCATCTAGTTCCACCCCCCTGCCACAGGCAGGGACACTTTCCACTACACCAGGTTGGTCAAAGCCCCGTTCAACCTGGCCTTGAGCATTGCCAGGGATGGAATGTACAGTAATTGAAAAATGTAGGATATGGGCTTTTAATACCACAATAATATTCACTCTTTTCTCTTAACCAGAAAGCAACCTCTGTGTATTACAGATTTACTCATATTGCACTTAAAAAGAGCTTTGGCTTAGATACTGTTAAAGTTCCACCACCTTGTTCAGACAAATTGTAAAGCACAGTATGTATGTAAACTAGAAAACTCTCTAGAAAGAAGGCCATATATACATAAAATTACCTGGTCTTCAAAGTCAAAATCTGTATACACGGGATCACCAGAATCCATAATCAAACTGCAATCAAGTTCATTTGGCCCTAAAATAGGAAAGAAAATTAGAATTCAGAAATGAATTGGAAACTTTCACTGTATGTGGTGGAACACTATAACATTTCCAGTTGTATTTATGTATGCAAAAACTGTTATCTAAGGAACCATTCAGATTTGCTGCAGTACCTGGGTGAATGCTGTTCCTTCAACAAAGCCTTCAAAACATTCATAAAAGCTACCACAGATCTTAATAAGGAATGGTTATACTAAATTGTGCATTGCTTCAGCCTAGATTGCAGTTTTATTGGGCAGGGTGTTCTGTGTGCCATGACTTGCAATTGTAAAATTGCCACAGGCATCTTGACTCTAGGGAGAATAAAAACCATGTTTAGGAAAGAGAAAGGAAATACTAACTTGTGATTAGCAGATAAGGATCCTAGATTGATGTTGATAGGGGACCAAAACGGCATGCTTCCAGCAGATATGGTCCGCGTTCCTATCCTACCCCTTTTCAAGGTGAGAGTCTGGCTCTGATCCTTCTCCCCCTCATCTCCCTGTAGCAGGATCAGCAAGTCATGCATATTCTTGCACTTGGGATGACAAAGTGCATCAAGGCTGCAGCTGCTGAGAAGCCTTGATCTGGCTGAGCTTTACAGTTCAGCTTCAGCAGGTTAAGAGAAATCGGCCTTGGTGTTTCAAGAAATCATATGGGGGGTAATCATTGCTAAACAACAGTAGGAGGATAAACCACTAATCTTTCTACATAAACAAAGGAAAGGTATAGCATGACATATTCTGGCATTATCACCCCATTTAGATTATCTCATTCCTGAGCAAGGAATGTCTCCTGTACCCGCTAGGTTGTGAATCCCTGAACCAAATCCTGTGCATGTTCAACACACATGTTGTGGGTTAAACCCAGCCAGACCGCTTGTTCACTCACTTCCCCCCTTCTTGCCCTCCCCCTCAAGGTGTATTTTTCACAGCATTGTTAGAATAACAAAAATACAGTAATGAAACACTGAGATCTAAAAATTGTGACCAGCCAGTAGCCACAGGTGAGTCCAACCACCATCTTCATGTGGGAAGCAACAGGTGACACCAGGGGAAGCACAAGATGTGCATTGGTTTGTGCCCTTATGTCCCCAGACTAGCTCAGTGGTGAGAAAGAGACTATAGCTCTCTCCCTCCAGGGTTACAGGTGTGTCTATCTGGTATGATGCTCCTGCAAGCACTGGCAGTGAGGGTACATAGTGTTAAGACTACTGCTGACCTGGAGTTTTCTCACCATTGTAGATGTATGCTTCCTGTAACAAGCATTATCAATAACAGATTTTGCAGTTCAGTTTGTGCCAGATGCATTTATGTATTATCTGCTTTTGTTTGCTTTTAAAGCTTACATAGATATAATCTATGTAGGTGGTAAACTAAACATCACTAAGAGAACAGAGAGAAACTGGATGTCACAATGACTAAAACCATAACTGTTTAGTAGAGATGATGATTCCAGGGTGTCTTAGTTTGCAATCCATATTACAGTTGCTGCCAAATTAATCTTTGATGCAATCCTAGAATATGCAAGAGATACCAGGGAAAGAGCTGGGTCTACCATCTGCTGGTGGGTTTTGGGTCCCCCCCACTGTTCATGTATACTTTATCAGGTTGCTATAAAAAAAGTAACAAAAATGGATGCTTGCTGCCATCCAATGTCACATGTATATATGCAGCATGTTCTCTGCATCTTTACGATCTTTAGAAAATACCTTTGTGTAAAAGATACATGCAACCAAATAGATTTACAGCTGCTGAGAGAATATTAACTTTTTTATTTATTTTACACAGCTGACATCTTGCTCTTAACATTGTATCATCATTGGTAATATAACTAAGCCTTAATCATCATCAGCATTCACCTATCTTGACACATCAATCACTTTTAAAGGCCCTTGTGTGCAAGTATTTGATTAACTATCACTTAACCAGCAAGAGCAGTATGTATCCTTAGCTAGAAATGTTAGTATGAAATATGGTGCTGCAAACTTAAATGTAAAGGTCAAGCTGAAAATGAATACTCATGCATAATGTATCTTGAGTGATAAAAGCCATAATGGTTATACAATTTTAATATGGTCAAGCATCTTAAGGCCTTTTTTCTTGAACTAGGACACCAATTTCCTTGGGGAAGCATAACTCTTTTTCTAGGGTATATTCAAGTAAGGTCAGGAAAATTGAAAATATATTCCTTTTCTTTCTTTGTTCAATAAAAACTAACAAACTCCATAACCATCTATCACTGAACAGCATACAGACTTCTCTACCCTTCTCAAATTGCCTCAAGACAAATCTACCAGAAATTAACTGAAGCAAATGGCTACTCCCAGGGCAAGACAAAATAACAAGGGGACATACAAGAGTACTTGTAAAATCCCTGGTGCAGTATGAATAAGGATTAGTTTGCTATGCTCCAGCTCAGTTTGCTGTTGGAGGGAGCATATTTTGTTGAGTTTGAACTAAATCTTGCTAAAACAGGTCTTCTGGGGAGAACAACAGGCTCACTAACTGCTAGTATGTGTGGCAGCAGAAGTGTACCAGAAAGTCACTTTTACTGGGAGTCAGTAATTGTGGTAGGAGGTGAAGCTGCTGAGGAGGCTAAAGCCAAGGGGAAAGTGTTAGGTTTTCAAAGCTCAAGTTCCAATCAGTATCATTCTATGTAAAACTTTTGGCAGTGTTTAGCTGTCAAGAGAAACACAAAATATTGGCTTAAGGAAAAGGGGAAGACTGGTGAAAGCATTTGGAAGCAAACATGCCCTGCTGCTTTGAGTGAGTCTGAGGGCTGCGCATCTCCTGCTCTGACAGCAAAACAGGGGATTGAAAATAAGGCTCATTGACTTTTCTGAGTAAGTCATGTTTTTCCTTTGACATGTTGGTGCACTGAGAACTAGGCTATAGAAAAATGAATACTTGCTTACCATTGGAGGAAACTCCTACAGTCTGAATTGTCCTAATTCCTTTCAAAGGCATGCCCCATTCTCAGCTCTTAGTTACCTTAGAGCCTTCCTGTGCTTGTATGAACCTATTGCAGCTGATCTAAGCAACTGTCTCAGTTTCAAAAAGGGAAACTCAACCACTAAAAAAAACCTCAATAGAATTAAGAAACTGCATTGAAAGCTCTCTGCCATGGGGAAATAGCTTGAAGCAGCTGACCTGAATAGGCAGTCTTGCAACTTAAAATATGCTTCTTCAGTTTCACTGCATGCATAGAGTAGAGATAAGGGGAAACCTGGTCATTTTCATGTGCCCTGTGATTTCCCTGGGGGAAAACCAGAGAGGATTTTATTAGGTCCAGTACTGCACAATTAAAAAATAAATCAGTTGGAAATTTTTATTAAATCCTCATTAAAGGAATAATCAGCTCTCCAGGGAGGAGCAAGCTGCTGAAAAAAGAAACAGCAGAGCAGCTAGAATGCATTCCTTTTTTTTTTCCTTCTTTCTTTTTTTTTTTTTTCCTGGGGTTTCTTTTCTGACACTGAGGGCATTTTTCACAAGGATTAGTCTTGCTAGAAACCCAGAGGATCCACTGACACAGCACTGAGGGACGACTTGAACTAATGGCTGGCTGCAGTTGTACAAGGGTGTGCAGACAAGAGATCCTCCTGCCAGATCTGACAGTCAGGGGGAATGACTCCCCTGCTCCTGGAGTCACTTCCTTCACCATGAGGCTGTACTTCTAAATTTTATGCCACATTTTACATATTATTTGTTGCTCCTCAGATGAATTGCACAGGATTAGTTATGGAAAGCTGAGAGGGTATGGCTATTATGGCAGAAGTGTGATTCCTACCCCAGAAATGCACCCCGGAGCCCAAGGGCATCATGGCCATAAATGTTTCTGGGCCTGTAAAATATTCCAGTGTTCTGAGCCTAGGTGCATGTCACTTCATCTGGAAGTATCACTCTTCCCACATGCAAATGTCACACATTGCTGTTTCACAGTTCATTAAATCAATTTATACAATGAAATTAAATTGTACCAATCTGTCTAAATTTATCTGCAGTTGATTTAACTTCCCACTACAAGGTATCTATACAGCATCATGTGAGTTAATTAAGTCTGCTTGTTGGACCATTTGTGTTTTGGCAAATCAGCTAATGTATTTCCAATCCTTGCTTATATTCATTACTTATTTCAAATCCTGGTAACGGTTCTATTCAATATGGTTCGTTGGCTCAAATATGCCCATACTCCTATTTTAATAACCATAGTATTTGCACTGTTCAACACTGACTGTCATAAAAGTAACCTAAGACTATCCTGTGAAATATATGGCTTCTCTTAATAGCATGTTTAAGCTCAGTAAAATAAAAATGCCTTTTTATGTTATAGAACATGCTCTGAAGCACTAACAACTCAATGCATGCTGCCTATAAGCACTTGGGCAAGGCAAATGCTTAGAAGGTACATTTCAAGTGGAATATAATAGAAATGATTTACAGAAGGACTGATTAGCATTAGAATGGTTACCTTGTAATTCTTCTCTTGGTAAGATGCTTCTAATACAAATTTTATTGCAACCTTACACTCTTGAGTTTCATGACAGGTTGCTCATAGCAACAGTCTTAATATGTCATAGAAGGCAATGAGAAAGGTGTACTTTAATTTATAAAATAGTTTTCTTTCAGTAAATATTCTTACATTGTTGATTACAACTGGATTTTACAGGTATAACATATGAAATAGATTGATATGGAGGCATGAAAATACTGGAAATACTGTTTACATTAGCTGCTAGTGACTAAAATATACTGTAATAGCACTAATAAGATTAAAAGACAAAAAGTGAGATCAAGGCAATTCTGGAATTTCAACTCTAGAAATTAAATATCTGGTCTCATAGGACCTCTAGAAATCCTATTTCTTGATGGCTGAACTTGATGATCTTAAAGGTCGCTTCCAACCTAAATGATTCTACGATTCTACTTTGAATCTCTTTACTATTATTGGTACTCAGGTTAGGCACCAATCTGATGATTATGGCATGGCTTCTGATAAAGTTTGTAGCTCTCCAGCTGTTTTGGTGAGGGATTTATTAAGCAGGTCACATTTTCCAGGAACTGACTGAAACTCACCCAGAATCACAACCATTTTTTTTGCAAACTGTTTACCTTTCGTCAGTCTCTTTGTCAGAGCAGCACCTTTATCCCACTTCTTTCATCTTGCTATTCAGTACTTAGCTCATTTAAGTAGGGAATCAACAGGTATCTATTAATACAATGCTATACATTGTGAATGCCATTTTAGGTTTGAAATCATTCTCCTGCCTCTAGGAATAAGGCTAAGCACAAAAGAGGTAAGTGTGCCACCTAGTCTTTATTCTTGTCTGCATCTTATCACAAAGCTGACCACTAAAAACCTGGGGTTTTAGCTAATACACTTTATATCATTCTCAATCTCCCACCCCCTTTCTTGATAATCCATCTTTTTGTAATTTTTAACATTATCAAAAATAGCCTTACAGGTTGGTTTTGTAGGTTAGCGAGCTTGGAACCCCCTTTCAAATCTCCAAAATATGGCCTAATCATTCTGTCTGAAGCACTTTTCTTTGCAGATATCTTGCTAGGAGAAAAAAGTAATCCCCCCCTTTGTCAAAAAAACACAATAGATGTATTGTTACTATGAGACCGCATTGTGCTTCATCAATTCCTTCTTCCTTTGAAGCTCCCAGATGATTGTTCACAATTACAAATACCTGGAGCTACCCTGTCTGCCAAATTGTTGTAGATGAGTTTTACCTTAAACAGGGGGGAGATCACATACACAATTTTTTTCTACTACATATATCTAATTTTTGTTTTAATAAAGTTAGTAAATTTTATAGGAAAATATTTCACTTCAATTTTTTTTTTCTTTTTGTATGCTGTTTCTGGAGATGTTTATAACCTCATCTACCTATATAACCCTCATGGTCTACTTGGAAAGAAGCCAGGGATGCCATCTGTAAAAAGAAAAAGTTGTGAAGTTACCAAGGAACATTTTCCTGTTCCCCTCAAGGAAAATATTTGACAGATGTTATGGATTTTCACTGCTTTGATTTTTAGCTTCAGTTCTTTTGCAGTCTTTTGTCCCTCAAAGGCTTTTACTTTGAAGACATTCAAGCCTCAGTAAGCACAAATAATAAATATATAAATAAATAAAGCTCCCAAACATATGGCAAATGTTCACACATAGCTTCAGAATCAGTACCAATTATTAGGGAGGAAGTATCATTAGTCTCATAGGACTGGTTTTATGGTGAACACTGAGGTACCACCTGAAACTGAAACGACAACTGGAACTGATCAACTTGTGAAGATTTTGTGTTAATAATATAGTTGTTTAGTGGACTATCTATAGTATCTTAAGGTGAACTTGTAGATAAACAAGACGTTAAGTGCGTTGCATGATGCTTCCAAGTGTAATGATACTTTTTTGCTCTTAATTATGCAACTGTTTGAGAGTGGTCAAGACTTTGCTACAGTACATACACGCTTACTTGAGGAATATGAAAAAGGTATCCCACTAATGTCAAATGCAATATAAAAAGGTAGTTCTTTAAATCTCACTTAACTCACCTGTTGCAGCCTCTTTGTTTGCAAATAGTTTATTCTCAACTGCCGATCTTATGTCAAAGAACACTTCTTCTTCATCTCTGTCTGCATCAAACTTAAAAAAAAAAGAAGTTGGTAATCAGACAATGCTTGCTACTTGGCTATGTTTTACAGAAATATGATTTTATTAAATTAAAGGACATTTAATTACAGTTGCTCTGGATTTTTTCTTATTTCTTGAATTGAGGCCAGGTACATTACTATGGAAAAAAATGGAATACTGTAACCTCAAATTACAGGAGCAAGCAAATAAGGGTCACAGCAGATGACTATTTTCAATCTTTCTGTATGTTCAGTAGCGCCTGTTTTAGCATGTGGAATGAACCCCAGGGCAAAAAACATTAGACTAGTGCTTCCAAACTCATGAACCTCTTCAGATGTCTTGCCAATACCCACCTGCCATGGTAAAGATAATAGGCAAGAGGAAAAGCCATGGAGAAAGAGGTTCAAATCCTAACAGGACCTTTGCTGCAGATGCTAACCTTTATATAGATGAAGTTATTTTCCAAGTATCTCTTAATACAGCGTGATACTTAAGTTAATTTTAGAGAGATACTGAGCTGCTTGTCCAACACCCACCATTGCAAAATCAGTATCACGCTCTGCCTTATGATGACTTATATGTTATCTATATTACTTAAGCTGTTTTGTCACTGGTAATGAGATTTGCTTTCTTATGGAATTTTCCATCAGAACCTCGAGGTAAACTCAGAGGCAAATATCAGCCCAAGAATTTAAAGTGGCAGATGCCAGAAAATAGTGGAAAAATAGGGAAAGAATATAAAAAAGAAAAAGGAGGATTCTACAAACTGTGTCTTTGTGAACAAAATAAAATAGAAGCTTGTTGGAGACCAGAGAGTGCGGCAACCATTGTAGAAAATTTGCTGCGAAAAAAGCTTAACTTCAACACCTGTGTGCTCAAATCTTCATTGGTATTAGTCACAATTTAAATCTTTATGGTTTTAATATTTAGCTTTATGCTTAGCTAGGCCCTAGACTTCATTACTATCGCAGATAAGCCTACTATAATCATCAATACAGAGAATTTTCTGACTGGCTTTTCAAACTGAGTTTCTGACTCTGACCCTAAGGACCACTAAGAAGTTCATCCTGTGATGTGGGCAGATGTTTATCTATTCTTGAGGAGCTCTTTAGTCATTCAGTGTTACTCAAAACTCAAAGCCTTATTTCTTATTTATAAAGCAGAAATTCGTGTTTATCTGTTAGAAGGTTTACATCTTAACTTGTGTAAAAATTGGAGCTCGTGGAAGAACATGTCTTAAAGTTGTTGGGCTACTTTTAAGAAATTTATTATCAATGCATGAAGAGCAGCTTTGAAATTTCTTTGTTGATGTCCTGGCTTCAGCAGTAGCAGTCATTTTTCTCTTTTAAGAAAAAGAGCATTAGCCTGTGCCTGAGGAACTGTGGGGATATGCATTTCTGTCACTTCTCAGCAAAAAAATGTACACGTTTCATTAGGTATGGTAAGGAAGACTTATCATAAAATATAATGTTTGTGGGTATGTGTGCACATCAAACCCAGTAAATTGTAATTGGGTTGTGTTTGATTGTTACTGTGTAGGTCACACCACACTCGGAGAGATGACAGTTTTGCTTTCTCATTAGTACCATTCCTCTGAATAATCCAGTTTACCATGAAAAAAAACACATGATCAATCTCAAAACCTTCTGAAGATTCCAAGAATTTGAAACATCGACTTCCTCCATTCAAAGAACACCAGCTGTGCTTCAGTACTCTGAAAATCTGGGTTTTGTAATGAAAGCCTATATTGTCACCCAAAGAAAACCAATTATTTGAAGCTTGCACATAGACTCAGTTTTCCCCTCACAAAATGAGAACTGTAATACCCTGAGCCACAGGAAGACAGGGCAGCTTTCAAAGAGAAATTATTTTTGAAAGAAACCAAGTAACCATGTGAGTTCTGTACTTCACCAAATTGCTAAACATTTTAAAATGAAATCCTTGTGATAATTATTGGAGGCTTGAATGAAACATAAAAGGTACTCAAACAACCCTATTCACAAAGAACAAACAGCAGTAAAACGTGTATTTTTAGTAGACTATGTCTATAAATCAATAGGTTCCTTTCCCTCTGAAAACAAATCCCAACTTCAAAACATAGCTCTTGGCAACTGAATTATCTTCTGTATCTTTATGGATGGCTTAGTTCAATTATAGTCAAGGCCTATGTTTTATAGAAATATGATTCTATTAATCATGCCAGCGAAAGCACTTGCAAAACACAAGACACTAACTGTATTGTTATCTGAATTGATATCATCTTTACCAGTGATACAGGAAGAAGCAAAGTACCTCTTCCCTTTGAGGTCAATGGGGTTTCAGGTTTGAACTCTCTCTAGCGTTTACCTCAATGAGGCACTAATGACGGTTTTGTACTTCACTGTCTCTATTTTGTTGGACTGGGAAAGATGAGGGAGACCTCTGAGGACAAGAGAATCATATTCATTTACGAGCCAGCCTAAATCTCTGAGCCAAGAAAGGCTTCATAAACCTTTCTGAAGAACATCTGGGGGCTATGCTTGGTAAGAATCCAGTAAAGTCTTTCGCCTGCCCAACACAGACATGTGGAAGCTGCTGGGCAGCAATCTCCACATCACTTCTATGAGTGGTCCTGCTTTCAAGATTTATCTCCTATGACAAAGGAAAGTAGGGGCTTTTTCTACCTTCTCTCTCCTCAGTCAGTTCAGTAACGGTGTTTCTGTGGGAGAAAGAGGTAATAAAGCATCATTTGGGAGGATGTGAATTTAACAACACCCACACGCTGTAGTTACACCACATACTGTTCTGCTTCCACCTGGTTTGGAGGAACACATCCCAAGGATTAAAGCAGGAACAAGAACAGATCTCTGAATCATAGAATGGTTATGGTTGGAAAGGACCTTAAGATTACCTGAGATTTCCTTTTAGCTGATTTTCAGCTAGTTGTGCTTTACTCTGACATCATGGTAAGTAAAGAAACTACCAGTGGAAGTCAAGTACCTCAGTATATATTGATTTTATATTTTTTTAAAATAAATGGTGACTGCAAGAATGATGGGTTTTCTAGAAAGTTTATCCCAGTTTCATGTGAACGGAGTTGAACTGGGGGATTTGATGCTGGCACAGTTATATCTCAAAAATGATGGAAAACATTTTCTAGATCTGTGCTGTAAAAAATTCTAGGGAATAATAATTCTAGGGAAAGTAAATAGTTCTAGGGAAAGCAGGTTGTACTTGCTGCTCTCAGAGAGAAAATGGTTAGTGTTTCTAAATAAGCACCCAACAAATCCCAGCCAACAGAAGGAGCTTTACAGAAAAGTACCCGAGTTGTTGAACACTGTGAATCTCACTGGTCAATGATGATAAATGGAGGTTTGGTAACACCAAATATACCTCTGTATATATTGGTTTCTTTTGTAGTTCTTTTTTTTTTTTTTTTAATAAACCCAGCTTTTTCCTCATGTGAATTCAGGGGAAGCATCAAGGAAAATGCAGTTAACTAGAATTTTGGGTGAGGGTGAAGTGAATCAGCCTGGCACTGCCCCCTGAAGACTGATTCAGCCCTAATGCCACTGCTAGTCTCTGCAGGTGGTTTATCCAAAATGACAGCCCCAAAATAAAGGGAGACCATAATAGTCTTTCAAATTAGAGCACAGGGAAACTAGAAAGAAGTCTGCTTACAGCAGACTCAAAGGGAGCTCTTCTTTGTGCACTTTGAAATAAAGTTAGAACAGGAGAAAGCACACCCCTCCCCTCCCCCTGGGCAAATAGGTGCATTTAAATAACATTTGCAACAATGGATAACAATATCCTCTCTTTTAGAACATGACAAATGTCAATGAAAGTAAAATAAAACATGTCCAAATTAAAATAATGGCATTGGGCTGATTGCTCTATGGCGATATTCTCATCCACCTCAAAATCAAATATGATTACAGGAATTGGATGATGAATGCTTTATTTGCTCTCTTTGCTGGCAAAGATTCCAACAATAACTGCAATTCATACATGTCTTGAGCATTTTCCTAGTCATTGAAACATGTCACATATAGAAATGCCCTAAATATTGTACATTTAAAGGTACAGGTGACCTGATTATTAGACCCACTTGCTGCAAGGTGGTCTTTCGACCTCTTGGACTTGCCTCAGTAGAAAGTTATTTGTCACTGGTCTTCAAGAGCAGGAGTGAGCACAGACTGCTGTCTCTGACCACTGCAGTCAGTGCTGGTCAGGAGAAAAAAACAAAGGAGTTGCTTTGAGTTTTATTTAAGTCACTTCCTCAGGTAGGGACCTTCCTGAGGTGCTTGACTGATCTTTGGCTGTGGAAAACAGGCCATCAGACCTCCAGTCATATAAATAGGATAGGAGATTTCTTTTTTTTCTTTTGTTAGACAGAGCAATGTCTCTGAAGGGAGATTTATAGTGAACAATTAAGTGAACAGGAGTCGGGTTGTGCTGCTTAGTCAGGGGGTCTAATTAGATGTAAGAACAGGAGTGCTGAATGTAAGCCAAGTGACAATGACATCAAAGTGTTTGGCACAGGGGTGATAGCTCCTGGATGCTCAGAGCACTGCTAGTATCCACAGCAGATAAACTGGAGGGAATTCCAGATGGGCTCTGAGAATGATTCCTTGCCTGTCATATCTAATGAGGGAAGAATTAGGGCTGAGATCAGAGAAGGCTGAAAAATATGTGTCTTGTACCTTTCTATGGGAAAGAGAAATTTTAGAAGTTGTTACATGAAGCAGACAGAATTGTAATATGCAAGGATGAAATCAAGTGAGTCAAATTCAGAATTGAAGCAAGCAGCAAAATTTATTTCTATGCCAGTTTCTTTACTGCTTAATTAGGCACAACTGGCAATGGATTCCCCATGAATTGAAAAATTTACATACTGTTCCTAAAAAGAATTGATTAGAGTCTGCAATTTAAAAATTGTTCTATATAGCCATAGCTGTCAGTTCTAACTTTATAATCATTAACCAGATAGATATATGTGGAAGTGAAAACAATTATTGTTTAGGAAGTGGAGA